TCTCACCACTTTCTGAACTTAGTTTTTATCTTTTATCGGCTAGTGTCGGCACCACGTAATTCGAATTCAATGTTTCAACACTTGTTTTAATTGTAACCGAAATCATTGTTAGTTTCCACATGCCTAAAAAAACCTCAAGCTAAATCTAAAAGTTGATGGCTAAATAAGAGCGTTTGAGAAATTGTGCAAGGCTTACAGTAATAGTCCGAATAGTCGATTCAACGTTTCATTAATCGATAGATTAATCGATTATCAAATTAGTCGTTTGTTGCAGCCCTATTGTAGTTATCCCATGTATAAATAAAACGTGTTATTCAGCAACCCTTGCAATTTGGGATTTTATTTTTGGTTGGTAGACCTCGGTGAGCTGGTCATTTCAAAAGTAGCTCACGAGCCAAAAAAGTGTGGGCACCCCTGCACTAGACCATTAATTATTGATCGATTAAGTTATTAAGACATTTTATGATACAAAATGATCAATCAGTCACTGGTAACGATTGTACAAATGTAAGTGTTTGCTTGGTTGTAGTATTGTTACTTTAGGTTTCTGATTTTTAGTCAACCCGAATTAAATACCACTTTTGGCACTGATAAACTTTAATTGACATTGTAATCATTTTTTATGTTTTAATTAAAAAACCCACTATCTCTCAAAGAATGATAACAAAAATGAAACTCACTAGATCCTTTTCTTTGACCTCCCGCAGAAGCAGAGCAAGTGACTGGGTTTCTACTGCCCCACAGGGAACAAACTCACACAGAGTGCAGTACAAGCCATCTAGAAAGACTGAGAGACATACACAAAACATAATGCATCAATGAAATGTTCAGAAACTCTGCACAAAAAGATGGTTTTTTTCTAGTATATTCTAAAAGCACACCTTCACCAGAGAAGCAGCTTTCAAAGACGGCTTTTGGCAACAACTGTCTCAGATCTGACATGGATATTGCTTGATCAATTTTTACCACTGGTGGCCTTAAATGGAAAAGATAAAACAAAAGCACAAAAAAATGGATTATATAATCAAACTTTTCAAAGATATTTAAGTATTAAAAGTCAGTATTTTTAAATGTTTCACATTTTAACTTACAGTTCTGCAGGAATCAAGGCCCCTGCCGTAGTCCTTAGCCCAACATCATAGAACTGGGCCCCTAGTTCAAGCTGACCCCTCCATGGAAGGTAATGAGGAACTGGAGTAAGAAAAAACTATTAAAAGGACTGTTTTTTAAAAAGGGAGGATATTCATGACATTACAATTTCAATCTAAGCGATCGCTTACAGAATCAGCTACCATTCATCATAGGCTTTAGTAGGCTCACTTTAAAGGCTAAAGTGAAGACACTGGTAAAGTGGGAAACATCAAAACCAAAATAAATCTAAGGGATAAATTGGTAACAAACATGTCCTGCTATCTTGTCAGGAGCCAAAGTTGGGCAAAATGTTGGCTTAGTTGATTTGGGGGCATAAACAAATCCATTCATTTACAATTGGGGGGTTTCTAAGCAGTTTACAGAATTCTATCATCTAGTTAATTAATCCAATCGCAAATGTTATATTTAAAATATATTACTTACCAAGTTTTCTCTCCACTCTAAAGAAAGATAAATCAGGCAAACAATTAATTGATTTGACTTAAAGATTCTCAATTTGTAAGAATTGGAATAGTTTATTACTCAGGGTTGAGTCATGCTTTGTTGTAACGATACAGTACCTTTTCTCTGGGGATGCTACAGGTGTTGCTTTGGTATCCGTATATGAGAATGATACAATTGCAAAAGGACAGGCAGCACTGGGAGATTGGGCTGTAACATTGCTTTCATCATTTAGCAGCTCATACATGTAATACTGCAAAGACAAAAATAGACAGAGTTGAAATGCCTGTTGTCTACTCCCCAATAGGTTCAAAGGGTTCATCTGCACAGAAAAATAAGAAATACACATATTATCCTCACTGATGATTTTCATCACCAGTCACATTCTTACCTGGGTTCTCTCAAAGGCGAGAAAGGAGCTTGTTTTAGCAGACACTGAAGGCAACTGCTCCGACACATGACAGTCGAACCCTGCAGTGGGTCTAGTGAGATTCTGCGTGTAGTTCTCTGAAACGTTTTTGACTCTACCCTGTGGTAAAAGAAAGCACAGTGATGTTGTTCATTACATGTTTTCTTTGAATGAAAAAAGGAGCAGGGGGACCTATTAGGCTAATTTTCAGGTTCATATTTGTATTTTGTTGCACTACTGTGTAGTACATGCTTTAATGTTTAAAAAAAAGGTCTTTATTTTTCTCATACTGCCTGTGCTGCAGCACATCTGTTCACCCTCTGTCTGAAACCAGAGCCCGGACTACTCTGATTAGTTAGCTGGTCGGCTCTATTGTGATTGGTCAACCACTTAGGTGTCCCGCCCCTAAGCCTATCAAGTACAATGTGTTGGAGTGCCAGCCAATAGAAGCGCAAATGTTACAGAGCAATGTCATTATGTTACAGGGGGAGAGGGGAGGGGGGGGTTGGGAGAGAAACTCCCTGTCGTGAACTTTGGGATTTTAGCCTTTGCATAACTTTTACATGCACAAAAACATATACAGACACATTACTGGAAGGGGTGAAACCCTAAAGAATAATAGGGCCTATTTGAGACAATTATTTGAATACCTTTGTCAGCCTGATGATGGCAATGTATCCAGATTTCCCATGATACCAGCGATTCAGATCCAAACAGTCAGAGTACATTGATATGTAAACACCTGAGTAAAAACACAGAGAGATTAACTTAATATGTGTGCAGTTAAAAATAAGTGAAGGAAGGGTTTCTTATCAAGATTTGAGGACATCATAAGCAACTACAATAATTAACTTCAAAGTGACTGATCCCAACAACTGACACTCCTACAGCAGCGAGGCCACACCTTGAAGCTTGTGGGCATTCAAGGTCACACAACAGGATTGACAACTATCTGAACAACCTCACCCACTGCAGCTGAACAATGTTGTATTGTACAGAATGTCCTTTCTAGACCATAAAACATGAATTACTCTACATTTACTCAAACAAGTTTCCTCTTCCCTCAGCAGGAATAACCTCTAATGTTTGTATTCTACTAGTTACTTTCACTACTTCTAATGTATTTTAGTAAGGATTTAGTTCAATCTTATGGACATAAATCCAACATTAGCTGGTGGAAGTATAGGGGCAGGTGTTGATGCTTCCTCATAAAAAGCCACTTTTATTGGAGTGTTCATGTCTGGCAAAGATAATGCATTATCTTTAATAAGGTACGTAAGGTATTCAAATGTTATTAAAATATAAAAATATATAATTCAATGATTTCAATGGACTGACATTATAAGATACTTGACAATAAGGGACAGTTAGTGACCTTTTCTCAGTTTGAAATTCTGAACAAAGGGGGCCAAACAAAGGGCCAATAACCGGTCTGGTAGGTTTATACTCCTCCACCAGCAATGTTCAGAAAAAGTGAGATAAGTTATGACAGATTAGAAAAAGACTAACTTCATGAGCTTTCCAAATGTCTCTTTCTGCCATTAAGGAATGCTTTTGTCTGTTTTGATGTTAAAAAAAAACATAACTACACAGATTGAAACACGCACGGGTGTGAAGTATAACACAGTTTATGACCCCTTGCAACACTGCTACATGCAATGGCATGTGAGACAGTGGAGCTGGATTTCATGTGCTAATACAGTGTGGTTTCATTGCAACGTTTACAGAAGAACTGGGACTTTGACCAATATCTAAACATGTTGTCTTCCACACGTCACTTATCACAGAAAAGAGAGGGTGGAAGGTTAACAGACAATATCTCTGAGAGGAAACATTCCCATATTGTAGGAATAAAAGTAACAGGAAATAAAAATGCTGAATTAATTGTCTAACTGCTTAAGAAACAATTCATATCCTGTATAGCTGTGCACTAATTTACAGTTTCTGTTTCACTAAAGAAATGCTTCCACTTTCATTTGTATACATTTGTACAGTTTTAACTTGCTTTCACTTTCAAAGGCAAGGGAGCACCAGGCAATTGACACATATTTTTTCTTGGAGCATGATCTGCACTAAATACTTTGAATAGGCCACATGCAATGTAATGGGCAAAGCTAGAAAGATAAAACCTTGGGATATATACTTTAACTAAATAAGAAAGGATTTATGTAATTCTTTGCATGTTTACCAAATAACCAGTAAGTATATCTATGTTAAATGTTACAGAAATGGTTGTGTAAAAATTTCAACTCTGTCTTCTCTGATTAGCAATACAACTTCTTGTTTTCTGTTCTGTTGGGCTGATACTGAAATGTCACTGTGATCTCACTGCTGGTTAACAGTGGCAGTATGAGAGAGGGGGAAATGCTAAATCATTATATTTTACCTTTGGAAGGATTTCCCAGAGTTGTGCATGTGCTGTTTCCTGTGAGCACGCCAGTTTCTCCAAGATCATTAGCCTTTAAATAAATACAAATATCAGTTACGGGAAAGATCTAGAAGATTTGTTGGAGCATGTTTTTCTCAGGCGTGCCAACATTTCAAGTGTATTACCTTGTTGACATCGTCGAACAGCAAAAACCCATAGGATTCTTTCAGATCCTCCTCTGAATATCCTACTTCTCTTCTCTTTGCTCGGAAGGCATAATACTGTTGTGAAAGAATACAAAATATTTGTTCAGTCATTAAGATTTCATGTTTAAGGTTCCTGTAATTATTAAAGGGCAGTTTCTGTGTTGTCGAATTAATTGCATTCTTTGACCTTATATTTCTTACATAGAAGGATATATACACATTAAGTATCCTAGTAGTTAATGATAATGTTAAAAGGATACAGTATTAATAAGGGTAGGCCTATATTTTTTTTATAAAATATGCATATTTAAAGGCTTCAAGCCCTGTGCAGCTTTTAATAAATGTAAACGGTTGTAAGATTAAGAATTACGTGTGGTTTAATATTTAATGACATTTATAGCCATTTATAGACATGAAAAATAAGATTTTGACTGACCTTTTCTTCCAGTGCTGGGTTTTTTACCAAGGCAGCGGACTTGTACCTAAAAGACTGCTTTGACTCCTCATACAAGTACGCACTTTTAATTGGAGTCAGAATATTGTTTTGAAAGACGAGAGAACTTTCTGAGACGGGTACTAAATGGCCTAGAAGAGAGAAGAAGAAAAAACCATGAGTATCAAATCCAAGCGACAATGCGAAAATCAAACCAAATGTTATTTTTTCTACAACAACAACAAAAGTTTCCGATAACTATTTGTACTGTGAGAAATTAGACCTTTTTCTACGTCCTTTTTTTTGGTATAATCATCCACAATTAGTGTATGTCTATCAGGAAATAAATATCCGATCTAAATATGTTGTTAATCCTAAAAGTGAAAGTCACACGAGGAGAAAAAACTGAAGAAGATCGTCACCTTTACTCGAGGCACCACCATTCCCACTTTCCATTGCTGAGCACTTATGAAATCGGTCTTTCTCCCTTTTCCCTTCGTTCACGACAGTTGTTTCTCGTTTTAAACCTATCAACAGACATATAAAGTCCCGTGTATCCTGTTACCAGTAAAGATTTTGAAGTAACTTGAGCTGTCGCCGCAGCTTCGATAGACATATTTATGCGACACAACCAGGAAGTTACAAAATAAGCGACAGTCCGGACACGTAGACACAAAGATATCCTCTCAAATACACTTTTAAACAGTTCCGTAGGTCAGTAAATCCGCGTTATTTAGAAAGGTCTTCAGTTATTCACGCTGGGGGATCGAACCGAACGCGTTCGTCACGAAAAAGAAACAGAAACCTATCGAGGGCGAAAGCATCCATCTTGAAACTGTCCTCGACCAAACTGAGGCTCTGGTAGAGCCAGTCTGCGCTTGCGGCTCCCTACCCCTCCCATTATGTGTTCCTATGTGTCGCGAGAAACATTAATGATTGCTAATGCTAACTGTAAAACGTACTAACACTGAAAAAGGACTACGTTTTGACTCTGAACACGATAAAAAACCTGGCCGTGTTTGAAGGTTACAGTGTGGTTTCTACAATACATGAAGGCTCAATGAACATAGTTGAGCTACTACAGACTGCAGGGGAAGTTGGGAGTCATTGCTAACACATATTTCACTTTTACACAGTTTAGCACACACTCACATTTAAAGCAGCACCAAGCCTTAGTTCCCGGTTTTATCTTTGCTAGTTATATAATTCAATGCGAAATATTTATAAACTAGGGATACAATCAGTTAATATTCTTATTATTTTCAAGAATAATAGTTTGGTAAAAAAAATATTGGAAAATGTTTATCTCAGTCCAAGTTTGGAGCTTTTGTCAAATGTAAAATGTGGGATATAGGGCTGTATAAATAAACGTTGGTTGATCGACTGATCAACTTTGTAGCCAAAATACAGACACTCAGGATCGGAAGAACAATATTTCCCCATTGACATCCATTGCAAAATGTTTTGACATTTTGTATCACTTTTCCGATCCCAGGATATTTTTTTTCTTTTTTCCACCATATTGAGACTATCTCTGGTGTTCTTTTTTGGATGTGACTAATAGATTTCATTATATTTTATTACGTAGGCCTACAGCAAGCCCTTCTAGGTAATTCAAAATGATGTATCTCATTCACCAGCTCTATGACCTCTTATTACAGGCTAAATAATGTCACCAAAAAATATTTTAAATGTATTTAATTATTTAATTATGACTCTATTGCCTCATCTAAGAAAAATAGTTGGTTAGATTCTACTGCAATACTATAGGCTATTGGCAAATGAGTAATCTAGGTTGTATAGAAATATTTATAAAGTATTATTTATTTACTATAGAGTTTTGAAAACATGCATAAAATGATCGCACAACTGATTGAGGTTTTTTGATGAGTAACAGTCCATGCTGTTGTTGAAATTGTTCGCCCATTTAAATCTAATCACATTCACATTTAAAATGTAAAGAATTACACCTCCTCGACATAAAATTAATGCAGTTGCTGCATTTGGTAAAACAAAAGCAAATCCAAGTCTTAACACATCAAGGATTAGCATTAGTGTAACACTAGCTGGAGTTAGCGATGTTAGCTAGTTCAACCCATTGCCTGTATGGTCTAACCACGCACACAAAAAAAGATTCCCACCTTTGCACTTGGAAATGTAATCAATATAGGGATGTATCATTTTGATTTAGCTTTATTAAAAAGCTTTCTTTTAAAGGGGGAAATGTGACCAAGTTAGCTAGTACTGATTGTGCTTGCTAACATTAGCGATCGAGATCATGCACAGGTTAACAAGCAATTAAATAAATACATTTGTTTCATATATTATTTGGTTTTTAGTTTTTGTCTATTTTAGTCCAATATATAACTTGAATGCAGTGGTGGAAGAAGAATTCAGATGCGACACATGGGCCCTTCACTTGAGTAAAAGTACCAATAAATGGTTGTCAAAATATTTCATTACAAGTCCTGCATTAAAAATCTTAAAGTACAAAAGTATCATTAGTCAAATGTACGGAAAATATAAAAATGTAAAGTAATCATTGTGCAGAAAAGTTGCCTTTATGTGTCTATATTTATTTATATTATATGTGACATTTCTAGATAATATTGTTGCAGTGAAATTTTTCTGTAGTTGACCAACAAAGTTCTGATTGACTTTTTTGTAAAATATTTAAATAATTGGACTCTTTCGTGATTTAAAGAGTTAATCCACTAGTTTAATGTTTGTTGAAAGGATTACAATTACATTATTTCCCTTTTAAATGTAGTGGAGTAGTACCAAGAAGCATTAAAGGGCCCATGTCATGCTTTTCCAGTTATTAACCGTCCCCTTGTGTGTTATGAAGGTTTTTATGCATGTAAACGAGTCAAAAACCCTCAAAGTGCACCCTGTAGCGAGTAAAACTCTAACACAGTCTATGCTGCCCCAAAACGCCTCGTTGGAGATTTCTCATTTTCCATTGTTTAGTTCCTGGGTACTGTGACGTGTGAATACCCAGAGGCCACACCCTCTGCCAGCATTTCACGAAACAAAGCTTCACAAACCTTTCAGCGATTCATGCCGGATATGTACAGCGTAGGGCACTGAAGAACGATGCTGTTCCTACTTTGTTTGGACCAGCGGGAGATTCGGTACACAACCTGTAAGTATTCATTGTTGTTTGTGTATTTATGATGTTTAAAAAAAACAAGGTATTCCACAACTGTTTATCAACCAAGTGTAATAATATAGGTTAACCAAATGAATACTGCACCCTCCCTATATTACGGTGTCACTTGTCTTATATGCTTTGACAAGACTACCACATCAGACACAAAACTCGTAAAGTACTACTCCCTACGTAACAGTTTCTGGTTACGGTTACTTTGTAAAAGGGGAGGACAAGTACTCAGTAATTTAGTGAGACCTTTACTAACGGTAACTCCCGAGTGTGGAGAATACGACAAGGAACGGGACCCGATTAGGGGAACGCAAGATAAATGAATAAATAAAATGAGTGTTCTCGTCGTATTTATCAAGAGACATGGAAATTCAACCATCTGTACTCGGAACCGGGGTGTCGATTCTGTTCAACAGGAGGAGGGGAGAACAATTGTTCTTATCTTGAGGAACAAGCTAGTCCGTAGACTTTTGACCCTATCAGGTAATATAACTTACTAGTAGCGCCTTGTTTTCTGTTTGGGGTTACGTTTTGTGCTCTTCTTGTTTGTGGGACGTGTTATTACTTTTTCCGTCCTTTGCTCCCAATATTATTTTTGTGTTTACGAAGCGTTAAATATCCACGACGTACATAACGGTTACCTAATAAATACTATCTTCCGAATTAAACTGTACTTTTTTTTTTTTCGTAAACCTACGCTTCTAGATATTCATGAGTCGCCCGCCTGTTTTTATTTTGTGTGTATTTGTTCGTTTGTTGAGTTCATGACATTTTCGTGTACCAACCAAGTGGTTAGTCGTGACAAACTGGACTCGTGTCTCTCTCGTCTAAACACAGGGAAGCAATCAACTACGGACAAAATAAAACACGTCAACATCAGGCTCCCGCCGACGGCTCCTGTCCAGTACGAGATTTAACCTCATCCCCCTTTGTTCTAGAAAGTCCCAGATTCATAGTTGTCCACTCTTTTTTCAGTGAAATTGTCGGGTCTCCTCTACTCGCGTCATCGTTCCGCGCTCGAGAACAGGTTGGATACATTAAATTGTGATCGCATTCACTGTTTGATGTGAATACGCTGGTACTGTCGTTCGCGTTATAAGACAAGAATAATTGTCAGTTCAAGTTTATAACGAGAGCGCCCATGTGTAGAATGTATTTTTAACTGCTTGTTGTATGTGCGGAGGTGACTGACCGCTTTAGAAAAACCAACTATGTCTGTCCAAGACAGCGAATCCGATAGAGGAAACTATGAATCGGAACTAACTCAAGGATTTATACTTCGAATTATTACATACCATACTATAAGTTAATCCATAGTCGTTAATACGTTGTTGGTTATATTTACGGAGGTTAATGGTCACGTCGTTATGAAGGAAATCAAAGGAATTGCTATGTTGTATAGCGGTTAGACGTGTAATGATTGATTTTAGTATGGTTCGTCTCGTTTGTGTGACGCCAGTGTTTTTCCTCATACCTAACGTCCCTAGTGTTGTTCCTGAGCTATACGGAATTAGTTGTAGCTATGATTATGAAGCTATGATAATTTATTAAGTACTAATGAATTGACAATGTCTTCGTAGCAAGTAGGATAAAGATGTCAAAAGGTACAGTAACTGTGTCATTGATTTACCCGTCCGAAACCAAATATGACTAACATTTAACTGACAAATATTTATGTTCTCGTTGTCAGATGAGTGTAATGGGGAAAAGGTTATGAACCAGTTCGTTTTATTCCGTCATCGACGCGTCGTAATATTGTCAATTTCCAGGGTACTAGTTGTACTACAGGGACAAGGATGACTAGTATTAAGGTTAACAACTCCTATGATTTTATTCTTCACATAAAGATGACGCACCAACCGTGTCTAAAGTTTGAGTGTGATCCCAAAGAGTAGAACTTGTCTGAGACTATTACTTGTGCATACACTCGCTTAATGGCCATAAAGTGAGGACAGGGATAATTGGCTCCGTCACAACCTTCGAGCGACGGGGCGTAAGAAGTAGTGAGCTGATGCGGAGGAGGGACACCGGGTCACACGAGACAACAGTCGCTTAACTCCGAGGCAACGACCGGAAGCGTGCGTAACGACCGTACTCGACTGTGTCTACCGGTCGTTGATCCGGACGGGCACAAGACGGCTATGTCACTCCTTTGCTCTCGCTTTGCAGTAGGACTCTGTGTTGTTGTTTGGTTGAGTGCGGCTTCATTGTATTTGTTAAGATTCGATCACATAATCTATCCTCTATTTTTCCATTTTTTCCTACATAGTTGCATACTCTTACCCAGACGCTCTCGTTAAAGCATCGTCAGGTTTTTTGCAAATGGGTAAGAATAGT